GGCAACCAAAATGATTAGGGGGCTGGAGCATATGACCTATGAGGAGAGGCTGAGGGAGTTGGGTCTATTTAGTCTGCAGAAGAGAAGAGTGAGGGGGGATTTGATAGAAGCCTTAAGCTTCCTGAAGGGAGGTTCCAAAGAGGCTGGAGAAAGGCTGTTCACAGTAGAGATGGATGGCAGAACAAGGAACAATGGTCTCAAGTTGTGGTGGGAGAGGTCCAGGTTGGATATTAGGAAAAACTATTTCACTAGGAGGGTGGTGAAACACTGGAATGGGTTACCTAGGGAAGTAGTGGAGTCTCCATCCCTAGAGGTGTTTAAGTCTCAGCTTGACAGAGCCCTGGCCGGGTTGATTTAGTTGGAATTGGTCCTGCCTAGAGCAGGGGGCTGGACTTGATGACCTTCTGAGGTCTCTTCCAGTTCTATGATTCTATTATTCTATTTTTGTTTACTTGTTTCTTTTGTTAGGAGAAGACACATATGACAGCATTTCTGTAGCTGTCAAGGGACTTTCATTGTATACCTTTGTTGTCAATACTTATTTCTTAACCAAATAAAGTTCAATTGAATTTGGTTTGCTACTTTGGATTTGGTTACAACAAATAAATGCTATGTGTCAAGATTCCAGCAGGTAGCCCAGCTGCATACCAGTTACAGGCTTTGGCCCTCATCACAGTGATTTAAATTCTACATTCCATATTCAAGATATATACATGGTGATCCAGATCTTTCATTTCCACCCCTTATGCAATCATAGTTTATTTGAATAGATGATCAATCATTACTGAATTTTTATTTTCATTTTCAGTGCAAACTGTGTTAATGTAATAGTATGATTGATAACTTACATGTGCAGAATTCTTAATTATGTCTTTCACAGCAACCTTAATTTGGTCATACAGCAGACAGATGTCTGATTTTGGAGTTAAACCAACCATTCAAGAGGCAGAGAGTCCTTTTCCATTAGCTTTCCTTCCCACCCCACCTTCCATGAGCAGCCACGTAAGATAAGCATTGTTGCCAGTATAGCAAGAACAAGTAAAGATAAGGGTAAAGCACAAGAACACAAACAATTCTGTTTACTCTAATGTACTGATCATGTAAACAGGGCCAAAGGACAAAAAGATCCAAATCAGAACCAGATCGATAACTAACAGCTAAGCCCTACATCAGCACTAATGAGTAAGCCCTGAAAATTTCCGAACTGCCAAACAGGGCAGGAAAACTGTATTTAAGGCTGCCTCAGAGTCTAGCAAATCGGACCTCACCGATGGGCTTTGAGTACCAGTGCCTCAAA